CCGGGCCCGACCCAGCCCGGAGGGGCACTCGGGCTCTGCGGGCGCCCCGCCCCACCGCCCGGAGACCGAGCCGCCATGCGCCGCGCCCCCGCTTCCCAGGCGGCAGTCGTGCTGGCCGCCGATCTCACTCACGCCGATGTCGTCGACGCGACATGGCGCGCGTGGGCCAGCCAGAATGCGCCGGCCTCTCTCCCAGCCGCGGGCCAGGGTTCTGTTCTTCCCTGGTCGGCTTTCATCCGCTCCATCCCTCCTGCGTTTCTCGCCGCCGCTCCTCCCAACGCGACTGGGCTCGCCCCTGGCCCATCCGGCCCGGCTCCCGCCACGGCCTCCTCTCACACGGCCGGCATCCAGGGAGCAGTCCGGCCGCGGACGGCGGCCGAGGTCCAGATTGAAACCCTCGGGATCGCTTGCCTGCATCCTGCCCTCTTGCCTCTCTTGTCTCCCTTGCCCCGTCCCCGCTGCCGCCTTCTGCCCGAAAGAGACCCGCGTTTAGCGGAATTACCTACCTACCTACCTACCTACCGCGGCTCCACGCATCGTGCCACTCAAGCGGGACGTCCGCTTGCGCGGTCAGCTCCCCTCCCCGCCAACCCCGCCCCGTCGGCTATGTCCCTCCTGGCGGCGGCTCGCCTCGTCCTCGCATGGGACGTCCCGCGGAGGGCAGCGCTGTCCTTCCTCGCCATGCCAGGATGGCCCTGGCCTGTGCAGCTATGGCCGCTTGCGCGGTGATCCAAAGCGGTCGCCCGTGAGGGCCCGCTGCCGCGCGCTCGCTCGTTTGCTTGGATGTTCTCCGCCTTGTCACCGCGCGCGAGGCCGCTACCGCCCAAACGTGTGTGTGTGTGTGTGTGTGTGTGTGTCTCAGTGGCTGTGTCTGTGTCTGTGTCTGTGTCTGTGTCTGTGTCTGTGTGTCCGTGTCTGTGTGTGTGGTTGTGTGTATGTTTGTGTGTGTTTGTGTGTGTTTGTGTGTGTGGTGTGTGTGTGTGTGCGTGTGTGTGTGGGGGTGTGGGTGTGGGTGTGTGTGTGGGGGTGTGGGTGTGGGTGTGTGTGTGTGTGTGTGTGGGTGTGTGTGTGTGTGTGTGTCGTGTGGCGTTTGCGTTTGCGTGTGTGTGTGGGTGCCTGTAAATGTGTGTGGCTGTGCGTGTGTGAGTGTGCGTGTGGGGGGGAGTAGATGCGGGTGTGGGTGTGGCTTTGGATGCGGGTGCGGGTGAGGATGCACGGTTGGGCTCGCCCTCTTTTTCTCCGCTCGGCCGTCCAGCTGTCAGCTGCGTGCCAGCCCGTGGAGGCAGATTGGCTTCTGCCGCAACCTCCTCGAACCACACGTAGCATCGAGGCAGGGGTGGCCGTTTCGAGCCCTGCGGGCCGTGCTCGGGCGTCGGGCCCGTCGAGGCACGGCGCGCGACCGAGCGGCGGGCCCCAGCAGGGGGGGCCGAGCGGGTCCAAAGCGCCGCCGCCGTTGGAATTCAGCCCGTTTGGCCGCCAGCTCCTGCGGCCGAGGGAAGGGAGCAGGCTCGTGCGCCGAGAAGGATGCGAAGCTCGCCTCCCTATCTTCGTCATCCCTCCTCCCCGGTTCGTTTCGTCTGGGGTGGTGCCGCGGCGCTGCAGCATCGCTCGCCGAAGCCCGTTGGACATCGACAGTACTTGATCCAGCGTCGTGCAGGATGGCGTCCTGCTCCAATGTGACTTTCCGTAAACCGCTCAGCAACGATATCACCAGCTGCCACGGCGCGAACGCGGTGACGGAAATCATCGATTCGTGTACGCCTGCCAGTATCCAAAGCATCATCCTAGGGTGTGGCTCTGCGGGGAGGGCCTGCCTCCACTCTCGGGTACCACCGCACATCGCTAGGGCGTGCTCCAACGATGCCGCCTGGCCACCGCAAAACGGGCCAGTGCTCCACGCATTGATATAATCCGCTCCGCGACCAAATGCCCGGGGGCATCCTCGTCGTCGTCCTCCTCCTCCTCCTCCAGCCTGGGCGCGGGGAGACCCTAGTGGCACCTCCTGGTCTGAGGTGAACCGCCGTTGACGATCACGGAGGCCTGGCCCGCGGTTTGCCGCGTGTAACCTTTTGGTTGCAGTGCTCTTCGCCGCGGGCATACTGTTGCCGTGCTTGTGGGGGTGCGTGCGCTGGGCAACGCTCCGTGATTTGTCCTCTGAGCGCCGACCCCGAACCCCTTCGCGCCAGGTTGGTGCAGGGTGTAGGGCGGCTGTTGGTTTGCATTATTGTTTCGATTTCTTTCCTGAGGCACAGGGTTTCTGGCGCTATTGGCAGTGTCAGGGAAAGGGAGCCGGAGGTCAGGTCCCAGCTTGTGTCCGTGAGCCCTTTTTGCACGTGTGCCCTTGGTGTTGGCCGTTGGCTGCGTTGGCCGTTGGCCAGTGCACGTTTGGCCCACGCTGCGTCGAGCGCCACGCTTTTGTTCTGCCTCTGGGGCCTGCAACATTCACTCCTCGTCCTGTTTCTCCGCCTCCTCCACCTCTTCCTCCTCCTCTTCCTCCTCCTCCTCCTCCCCCTCCTCCCCCTTCTCCTTTTTTTCTTCTTCCGTCGTAGTCATGTTGGCTCAAGCCGTTCCGCGCCCGACGGGCTCCTCCCTGCTCTGGCGCAAATTTCGGAGCGGCGTTGCCTCGGGAACCTGCCATCGAGAAGCACGGGCCTTAAAGAAGCGGCAGCGCCGGACAGGGCGTAACCGTGAATAGGCGCACGCACAAGGGGCCAGGATGTCTTCCCTTCCCTTCGTTTTTTCCTCCTCTTTTCCCTCCTCCTCCTCCTCCTCCTCCTCCTCCTCCTCCTCCTCCTCTTCTTCTGCCTGGAGAGGACCAATAATGCAGCGCAGCGCGCTGGCAACACAGCGTCGGGGTGCGACGCCTTCATCAACTACATGGCTGGAATCAGCGTGTGCGAGAAGAGCGAGAAACGGCAGCAAACTATGGCCCGGCTCCGCGAGCGGGAGGGCGTAAGGGCACAGCCCGACGTTTTAAGCTGCCGCGCCCAAAGACAGCACGTGTGAGAAGATCGGGCAGAGGCAGCAGGCTCTGGATAGGCTCCGGGGCACGGAGACTTGGCTAGAGCCCGACGTCCTCAGCTACAGAGTTGAAGCCGCGAGTGCGAGAAAGGCAAGCAGTGGCGGCAGGCTCTGGCTGGTGCCCGAGATGCCGGAGGCAGGCTGAGCGAAACGTGCGGGTGTGCCGCGATCAGCTACAAAGCTGGGGGCAGCCCGTGCGAGAAAGGGGGTGCGCAGTGGCAGCCGACGCTGGTGCTGCGAGAACAGCGCGGGCGGGCCACGATCAGCCACAGCGTTGCGAACAGTCCGTGCGAGAAAGGGAGGTCGCAGTGGCAGCCGACGCTGCGGGAAAGGTGCGATTGGGCCACTATCAGCAACGCTGGGAGCACCCCATGCGAGAGAGGAGGCGCGCAGTGGCAGCCGACGCTGGTGCCGAGCGAAGCGTGCGGGTGGGCCACGATCAGCCATAACGCTGGGAGCAGCCCATGCGAGAGAGGGGGCGCGCAGTGGCAGCCGACGCTGGCGCTGCGAGGAGCGCGGGCTGGCCACGATCAGCAACGCAGGGGGCAGCCCGTGAGAGAGGGGGACACGCAGTGGCAGCGGACGCTGGCGTTGCGAAAACAGTGCCGTGTGATGCGAGAGGGCGATGCGAGAAAGGGGTAGCGAAGCTGGAGCCATGTGTCACCTGCGAGCTGCGGGAGGAGTCGGCGTGGTTCCCAGTCCCTGCCTTCCATTGTTTCCCTTTCTCCCTCCCCCTCGTCTCCACGGCTGGGCGCGGACGATAACGGCACGGGTCCCACAACAGCGTGAAGTACCATGATGTGAGAGTTGGGAGTCGAGGCCCGAGCCCGACACGATCAATTTCAGCGCGGGGGTCGGGGCGAACCGCTGGGAGCAGATCGTGCGAGAAGGGCGGCAAAAAGGCTCGAGCGACGCAACGTAATGCGAGAAGTGGGAGGCGAAGCTGGAGACCCCACCCGTCATAGAGACGCAGCGAAACGGTCGAGCCCAACGCCATCAGCTACAACAGACAAAGAGGGACGCTGGTGGCCGCTAGGCGACTGTCGAGCCCGACGTCCTCAGCTGCAGAGCTGGGATCAGGGCAGCGCTGGGGCCAGAGCAAGCAATGGAATCAGCTGCAACGCTGGGGACACTTCGTGCTAACAGAACGGCAGCGGCAGCCCCGACACCACTGCGAGAAGTGGGAGGCGAAGCTGGAGCCCGAGTCTCGATTGCTGCTACAGCGCAGGGATCGGAGCGTGCGCAAGCCCAGGCAATGGCAGCATATTATGTTGCCGCAGCGGTCGGGCGGGCATTTCACCAACTACAACGCTGGGATCAGTTCGTGCGCGGAATGTCAGGGGACCAGCCGTGCAAGGCAGGGTCGCAATGCATCGGGAGGTCAGTGGCATGCCTCCTGTGAAAAGCGGGAGGCGAAGCTGGAGCCCAATATCGGCAGGCAGCAGGGTTTGTTGCCGCTGAGCTTGGATGGGCCACAGTGCGGACCGGCCACAGTGCGGAGATCAGCTCTTGCGAGAAGTTTGCAGCCCCTCTGAGGTACGCCCTGGAGGGCATCATGGTTTTTTGGCTCAGTTCGGGGACGGCCCGAAGCGGCCAGGCAACCCACGGCGCAAACTCTTGGGTACATCGCGGCCCGTCTGACCCGCAATACTCCGCATTATTAATTTTCCTCCTCGTCCTCTTCTTCCTCCTCCTCCTCTTCCTCCTCCTTCTCCTCATCCTCCTCCTGGTCCTGCTCCTCCTCCTCCTCCTCTTCTTCCTCCTCCTCCTTCTTTTCCTCCTGCCCCTCCTCCTTTTCCTCCTCCTACTCCTCCTCTTTCTCCTCCTCCTCATCCTCCTCCTCATCCTCCTCCTCCCCCGTACCTCGTTGCACGTCACCTCGGGAGACCCCCTGCGGATTCAATCCTGCCTCAATCCCCCTTCCGTCCTTTCTCTTCCCTCGCTCGTGCACCCCCATCCTTTCCCGCGTGCCCGCCCAGATGACCAAGAGGAAGATCATGAGGGGCCAGAAGACGAACCTGTTCCCGGGGAACTACGAAAGCCACAAGTTCGCCAGGGCGCGGAGCGGGGAGGGGGGGGGCGGAAGAGGAAAAGGAAACGGACAGGACGACAGTGTTCTCGCATCGGTTTCGGCGTCCATGTGCATTTCTTGAGTGGCCAGTCTTAGACGTACCCAGGAGTGGCGCATCAGCGCTTGTCGGGGGCCACTGTCGGGTGCTGCCAGAGGTGTTCCTGGCCCAAGGTGTTCCCAGTGTTCCCAGGGGACCCTCAAAGCAGCCTTCACGAGGCCCAGAGGGTCTCCAGGCGTGAGACGGAACGAGAAGCTGCGGCGGTCTTTTGGGCCAGGGACACTTTTGGCAACATCCGACGTGGACGCTCTGGGGCATACAGTCGGGGCCCTGAAGGAGGAACCCTTTTCGTTGGGGAGGGGCTCCGTGTTCCTTGATTGTTTCACAGCTTGCCTTAGGTGTTCCGTAGGTTTTCGCTGGGTAATCGACGTTTCACTTGTGGAAAAAAAGGGGCCTCGTTCCTGATTTGGGGTTCCTTAGGTCAACGCCCCGTCTGTAACACCGTACGTGCCCGGCAGACACCCGACATGGACCCTCTGGAGCATCCTCGTTCCTCATTCAGGGTTCCTTAGGTCAGCGCCCCGTCTGTAACACCGTGCGTGCCCGGCAACGCACCCGACGTGGACGCTCTGGAGCATCCTCTGTGCTTCGGCCGCGCGGGAGCCGCAAATAGTCACCCTCGGTGCGGGCTGCCTGGCGGGGGCTCCCCGGGCCCAGGCCTCCGACGCCTCGAGACGGTCAGTGCGGCGGGTCCTTGGAGGGCTGGGCTTCCGAGGGTCCGTTGCGTGCCCCGGGGGCGGAAAAGAGGGGGGTGGTGACTAGGGGGGGGTTCAAATCATGGCGTGGGCCATGGTATTTCCCCAGATTTCATGGCGCCTCTTCTTATTTCAATACGGCCCTGGCCCCGCCGCTGGGCCGCGCACATGCCGCCGGTCATGGGTCCCTGAAGGCTGGGCTTCCGAGGGTCCGTTGCATGCCCCGGGGGCCGTGGGAGGCTGCCGCGCGGAACCCGCACGAACAACGAGGTCCAGAGTTGTGAGGCCCCGCGCATTGAGGCAAAAGCAAAACGTCGAGCTGGGCTGCAGCTGGCACGAGAGGAATGAAAACCCTTTTTCGATATGAGCACCCTTCTGTTCTTCATGTGTTGGGTTTCCCACAAGATTGGCACGTGGCGTATGGTATGGTGTGAAGTACACCGGCCCCCCAACATTGTACTTTTGAAGTGCCAGCGCTGTTTCTTAATTGTCGGTTTCACGGGGCGTGTTTCGGTACCCTGGGCCGTCAAACAGATCAGTTGGGACGACACCGATGATTCGTTGGGAGGGCGCGAATGCTCTGGGACCTGCGCACTGAACACTTCAGGACACCGGAAGCAAGGTTTCGCGTGCGCACATCGTTGGGCGTGTGACCCCAGCCAGGCCAGGAAGGGTCCAGGACGGCGTTGTATGCATTGCGACATGTTTCTGCCACATCCCTTCGCCTTATATCCCCACTGCTATCTCTCTTTCTGTTGCCCCCTCTCCCTCCCTCTCTCCTGCTCCCTCCCTCCCTCCATCCTTCCCTCCCTACGTGCTTGTTTTACTCCCTCTCTCTTCTCAGTCTCTCCCTACGTGCTTGTCTCGCTCCCTCTCTCTCTCTTTCTCAGTCTCGGCCCGAGGGCTCTGCTCAAGGCGAACCCATCGCCAAGCGCCACGCATCCGTTTTCATATGGTTGCTTCGAAGCACTGGGCACGGCCCCTTCCAGGCCGTGACAGACTGGCGTCACACATCTGCACGAACGAGATGGGCACGGAAAGAATGGGTACGATGCCCAACAGCGGATCTTGCTCGTCTTGAGCAGGACTCGCTGTCCACACCGCAGCGGCCTGTGTCCATTTGAGACAGAAGGCCGCCTGCCCAACAGCGGCCGCTGTAGGTTTGGGACAACATTTGTTGGTGGGCATTGTACCCATTCTTTCCGTACCCGTTTCGGGCGTCCAAAACATATTTTTCCCCCCCCCCCGCGCGCGCGCCACTGTCTCGAGAGACCCGGCGTGCGCCCCCCTTTGCACCACCGGAGCCCACGCCACCAGGCAAGGGCCGCGGTATGGTAGTCTCACCAGCCTGCACCGGTTTCCGCAGGGACGCCCGCGTCGCCGCACTCCACAGCAGTGGTGGCGTGGACCGAGCAATCGCTGCAGACGCCGAACTTGCTCACAGACATCACGCCGATGCCGCTATGATTCACCAACGTCACCGCCCGTGACCCACCAGGGACCCTGTCACCAGCCTGGACGCACAGAACTGGGACGTCTTTGTAACACCGTGCCCGAGAAAGAGGACGACGGGACGTCGTGCACCAGTGGCAGCTCACTTCGCACACTAGAGGAAGGCGACCGCCTGCTACAGCAATTCCGAATACAAGGCAAACCTCTAGTGCTCGCAGTTTTGTGCCCTATCACTCCAGGACACGAGATCCTCGTCCCAGTCCTCCGCCACACGGCCAAGGCTGCCAAGCCGACGCCAGGACAGAATCAAGCATAATCAAGGGACCATGTACCAGCTCGCACGGGACAAGGTCACATGCATTTAGAACGTCGTGCAAGTCAGTCTCGACCCAGCTGACAACGTAGTTCTGGTCCGCGCAGCTATCGGCGAGGCTGACGCTAATGCGGTCACGCCCACACTCGGGGAATTGTACGCGGCAGAGTCCTCAGGCGCTGCACCCATCGACGGCAACCGACTCCCAGGAGGACCAGGCACTGCAGGGGAAAAAACCGAAGGAAGCCCATGCGTCAGTCAGAAGAGACGAGAGTACGAGCCCGTGGAACACTCCTTATCAAAGAGGGCGCCCCGACTTCAAGCTACCCCCCCCCATCCCTCGGTAAAGGAGCGGGGGTTCTTCCGATGCCCCCCCCTTGCTGTGTATTACTATGTTGAATGTCGTGTCTCTGTACCTTGGCATTCTGCTTGACGTAACTTTTTATTGCACGCATTTGGCGTGTCGCTCTGCCTGTCCTTGCCCACGCGCTTTTGGCGTATGGCTGCTTCGTTCGCTCCCCCCCCCTTCCCCCCCCCCTTTGTGTGAGCATGTTTCAGCTGGGGGGAGCCGAGCTAAAGGTGGGGGGCGGGCTTGGAAGCGATTCCCCCCCTGCCTCTGCGGGGCCTGGGGTCCGCCCAGGCCCCCCCTTTCCAAAAGTGGGCGGGGGGGTTCGACGTTGCCCCCCCGTTCCTTGTGTTTGGATTTTGTAGCTGGGGGGTCCCTGGCTAAAGGGGGGAGGGGAGCTTGGAAGCTACCGCCCCGTCCCCTCCGGTTTCGAAGCCCGGGGCCACAACTGATGCAGGAATCGCTCTCTCGCGTGGGACTTCCTCACAACTAATGCAGGGATCGCGCTCTCGCGTGGGACTTCCTCGCAATTTATTCAGGCGCCGCACCCTGGATTCTCAGGAATCACGCTCTTGCTTTGGCCTTTTTCGCGATTTACTCGGGAATCGCGCTGTCGCTCGAAACTTCAGCACGATTCACGCAGCACTGACGCTTCAGCAACAGGCCTTCTGGACCTGGCCTGTTGGGCCCTCATTCCCGTGTTCCGCCCGTTAGTATCTACCCGCCCGATGGGCCCGTTTGGTTCTGCCACTTGTTTTCTGCTCCTGGCCCCCTCATGCTGATCCCGTGCTCCTTCCTCCCCCCTCCCCCTTCTATCCGTTTTGTCTTCCCTTTTTAGGGCCTGCACCATTTACACCAGGCAGGTAAGGAAGATACACCCCCAGGAGGGTCACGATCGACGACGAAGAGGGGGGGTACAGAGTGTTCGGGGCATACGTGTTGAATGGCACGTGGGCAGACAAGAGCGAACAATATTATCATGAGTGCTTGTTGTTGGTGGTGGTGGTGGTGTTGTTGTTATTGTCGTTTTTGCTGTTGCTGCTGCTGCTGCTGCTGCTGTTGCTGATGCTGTTGCTGTTGCTGTTGTTATTGCTTGTATGTGTATTCGTAGTTTTCGTACTTGGTTGGTCGCAGTTGTCTTTGCAGGCCTCATGCTCATGTTACTCTCCAGCGGGGGCGGAAACCCGATCTGCTTTCAACGTCCTGCCGCTCCATGACCCGATCCACTTCTCAACGAGGAGCACGGGCCCTCCTCACCGCTTTCGGCTCCCAGGGGGGACCCTCGCCGGACCCAAGGGCCTAATTACAAGGAGCGGCTCGGTGTTCCTGGCATCGCTCGGACGTGTGCATTTTTCTTCGGCGAGGGCCATCGAGGAACATCCTTGATCATTTGGCGAAAAAACCACGCACGAAACTGAAATTACCCTGTGACGTACCCAACCCATTTGTTATCATGGGAAACGACGAGTTGGCCGAAACTTGCATGGACAATCAAATTGCAGGATCCGTTGTTTGATATGTAAGCTACTTGGGACACGCGCCTATGGAATGATGCGCAGGAGAACCGTACAAGAACGAGGGGCGACAACTACAGGCTCGAAGAGGACATGGGGAGTCGGGAACGAAGAGCAGGAGCAAGACGTGCGGGAAGCCCACTGTGCTGGGCCCCTTCAGCAGCCCTCGAAAGTGGCGACAGTTTCACAGATCGCAGCCCCCCACGTACTGCGAGGTCTAATCTGAGTCTGCGGTAAGTACCCAGTGTGTTGGGCCCCTCAGCAGGCCTCGAAAGTGGCGACAGTTTCACAGATCGCAATCCCCCAGGGATGGCGAGGTCAAATTTGAGTCCGCCGTGTGTACCCACTGTGCTGGGCCCCCCCAGCAGGCCTCGAAAGCGGCGACAGTTTCACAGATCGCAGCCCCTCCAGGGACGGCGAGGTCTAATCTGAGTCTGCGGTGAGCGCCCCGTGTGCTGGGCCCCCCCAGCAGGCTTCGAAAATGGCGACAGTTTCACAGATCGCAGCCCCCCAGGGATGGCGAGGTCGAGTCTGAGTCTGCGGTGAATACCTTCTGTGCTGGGCCCCTTCAGCAGCCCTTGAAAGTGGCGACAGTTTCACAGATCGCAGCCACCCCAGGGATGGCGAGGTCCAGTCTGAGTCTGCGGTGAGTACCCAGTGTGCTGGGCCCTCAGCAGGCTTCGAAAGTGGCGACAGTTTCACATATCGCAATCCCCCAGGGATGGTGAGGTGTAGTTTGAATATGCGGTGGGTGCCCCGTGTGCTGGGCCCCCCCAGCAGGCCTCGAAATTGGCGACAGATTCACAGATCGCGGCCCCCCAGGGATGGCGAGGTCTAATTGAAACCTGCGTTGACTACCCACTGTGGTGGGCCCCCCAGCAGGCTTCGAACGTGGCGACAGTCTCACAGATCGCAGCCCCCCAGGGATGGCGAGGTCTAATTTGAATCTGCCGTGTGTACCCACTGTGCTGGCCCCCCCCCCAGCATGCCTCGAAAGTGGCGACGGTTTCACAGATCGCGGCCCCCCAGGAAAGGCGATGTCTAATTTGAGCCCTCCGTGTGTACCCACTATGCTGGGCCCCCCAGCAGGCCTCGAAAGTGGCGACAATTTCACAGATCGCAGCCCCCCAGGGATGGCGAGGTCTAATTTGAACCTGCGGTGAGTACCCACTGTGCTGGGCCCCCCAGCAGGCCTCGAAAGTGGCGACAGTTTCACAGATCGCAGCCCCCCAGGAAAGGCGAGGTCTAATTTGAGCCCGCCGTGTGTACCCACTGTGCTGGGCCCCCCCAGCAGGTCTCGAAAGTGGCGACAGTTTCACAGATCGCAGCCCCCCAGGGACGGCGAGGTCTAATTTGAACTTGCGGTGAGTACCCACTGTGCTGGGCCCCCCAGCAGGCCTCGAAAGTGCCGACAGTTTCACAGATCGCAGCCCCTCCAAGGATGGCGAGGTTTAATTTGAGTCTGCGGTGAGTGCCCAGTGTGCTGGGCCCCCCCAGCAGCCCTCGAAAGTGGCGACCGTTTCACAGATCGCAGCCCCCCAGGGATGGCGAGGTCCCATTTGAGTCCGCCGTGTGTACCCACTGTGCTGGGCCCCCCAGCAGGCCTCGAAAGTGGCGACAGTTTCACAGATCGCAGCCCCTCCAGGGACGGCGAGGTCTAATCTGAGTCTGCGGTGAGTACCCACTGTGCTGGGCCCCCCAGCAGGCCTCGAAAGTGGCGACAGTTTCACAGATCGCAGCCCCCCAGGGATGGCGAGGTCCCATTTGAGTCCGCCGTGTCTACCCACTGTGCTGGGCCCCCCAGCAGGCCTCGAAAGTGGCGACAGCTTCACAGATCGCAGCCCCCCAGCTGGCACGCAGCGACGAGCGAGGCAAAAGGCAAGGGGGGAGAAAGGGGCGGGAAGGAGGCAAGGCGACGCGCGAGCAGTGCTCTATTCAAAACGAGAGCCCAACGCAGGAGGGTTGGGAAAAAAAACACAGGGAATGGACGTCCGAGCGACGGCAAGTGTTCAGAAGCTGGCCTCGGTCGGCCGCGCGTACGAGTGGCCCTTCGCCGGAGTGACCTTTTGGTGCGGGCACGCTTCAGAGGCGACGATAGGGGCGAATAGCCCAGGGGAGAGCAACACATGTATATTCAGGTGCGCCGATGATCTGTGTCTTCGAAAAGATTCCCGGGTGCATGCGTGTACTGGCCGCCCCTGGGCTATTCGCCTCTATCGTCGCCGCAGAACACTGGGGTCCCCAGGTGGCTGACTGCGATGCGATGGCAGCGGCCTGCGCGCTCCCGTTCGGCCTCCCCGCGGACCCCGAGGGTCGCGCACCAGAGGTAATTTCTTGCCTAGGGTCCTTCGTTCTTCCGGAGAGAAAAAAACACACAGACACAATCAATTGTCGATTTCCCAGAAAATATATGAAAATATGGGAGGTGGGGGGGAAGACGAAAACCAAGACAATATGGGGAAATATGGGAAATCCTTTTATTTGTGTGTATTTATTTGTGTGTCCCAGGGCCTCTTCAGTTCTGGTCGACCCGAAAGAGGGTCCAGCTGCAAGGGGGTGGTGCAAAAGATTCAGGGCAGCTGTGTTGCAAATGTACTGCGCCGGAGCATTGTATTGCACTGTATTGCAAGTAATGTATTGCACGCGGGAACCCAGCAATACATTTGCGCCCCAGCAAATATATGGCACCACACCTATTGCTCCACCCCCTTTTCGCTGGACCCCCTTTTGGGTCAACCTGATTCGTACAGTCAAACCGCCCAGTAAGGATGGGCAACCTTCCCAAGGGTACCTTACATCCTTGCATCCTCGGCCCATCCTTGCCCTCGTTCGTTCGCCGCGTCCCGATCGCAAAGTGCTGACATGGCCTCCCAAGGTTCTTGCATCCTTCTCGCACGCCCTCAGAGAGTTTCAGAGTTTCGTTTCCGGGCGGCTCCTTGATTGAGGGAGTGACCGCGGAAATCCCGTTCTCAGTCCGTCGGGGGGCGGGCTTCTTTACCCGTTTCAGGGACCACGCTCTGGGGCGTCACA